TTTTAAAAGATAAACGTCCATATCCTAACTATAGATTCCACTGCGTTAGGATTTATTTCGATAAAGTTCAATACTGTGCATGTTGTTTGACGTTCCTAACAGAACCCAACACTACTTTCACCTCATCCGACGCTGAGTGCACCTCCAAACATGTTTGATTATATCGAGCAACATACTTCCTCGACGACTCCTTCTCTCCTTGCCTCATCACCATCAGTGTCAAATATGTCTTCTCCTGTGCCACCGTGCTCGAATATTGGTTGGTAAGCTTGCTGGCAAAATCCTCAAAGTCTACGATCGATACAGGGGGTAGTTGATGAAACCAGTCAAGTGCTCCCCCACGCAAGGTCGATAGAAATGCCCTGCAACATACAGAATCAGAATATCCATGTAATACAGCCATGTTCTCAAAGGTCCTCACATGCCTCGATGGGTCAGTTGACCCATCATACACCAAATTAGTCTCTTTGAAATTATTTGGTAAGGGGGCTGCGAGAATCTCCCTCGAGAACAGATGTCCTCGAGCTCTCCTCTCCGGCCTTCCCTCAACCTTATCCTGGAACTGGCGCAACTGTTCCGCCATCCTCTCCATCGCACGATCTCTTCCACCTTCTCCATCTCCATAACTGGACACATCCTCGTCCTGGCCTCCTACTCTTGTGGTCAGCGCGGTGGTGGCGTGTGACGTGTGGCTCGTGACTTGCTGCACCGCCTGCGCTGCCGCAGTTGCCGCTATCCTTTGCATCTCCTCCCTGGTCATTGTCACCATCTGTTGACGAAGGAGCTTGTGCAACGGCTTGTTGTGGTGCTCCTCCTTGTGTCGCCATCCCTCCTTGTACCATCACTCCTCCTGGTTGCACCACCACGGGATTTCGGGGTGACGGCGGTGGCATCGCCGCCGCAGCTACTGCACGAGCCTCTTGAGCATGACTGGAGCTGGCATCTCCTTCGGGAATCACTGTGGTCGCTCCCACACCTTGAAGGACAGGCGTAGGAGTGATCGGCGTCTGCGATGGGCCAGAAAAACCCGGAGGAGGGCCTTGCCTAATCGGCCTGGTCGTCGTCCAAGCGTCGCCGAACGTCGACTGCAAGTTTTTGGAAATTCCGTCCGCCATAGCCGAGCTGCAAACACAACTTCTCAAACGAAAGTTTCCACAGACGGCGCCAATAATGCAAGTGTGAACGTCCTGGTCCGGTTTGGGGTAGATTGATTCTTGTCCTCGCCGGTAGAACGCCAGAAACCTGCAAACAACTCTCACACCGCGGGTTCTCTCTGGTGAAGAGCCTCCGATGCTTAAGTCAGTATGTGTTTCAGTATACTGAAGGGAATAATAGAGAAAAATCGTGTTGAAGAAGAAAGGCTCACCCCCTTTATATAGGGGTGAGATACCTGACCTAGGGCTGCCCGAATTTGGTGAGCTGTCTGCCCTAACTGCCCGTCCGTACACACAATACGCGTGTGTCAGAGGTAGCCGTCGCCACTATCGTTTGCACCAATACTCTTTGGACGCGTGTCCTCCTTCACATGGGGTAAGCTGTCATAGGTGGTTGTCGCTTTCAACCAATAAGTCCTCGACACATGTCTTCCTGCACATGGGATGAATATTCTTCTGAAATTCCATTAGAGGTTCTCACACGTGCCTGTGACTAAGCCGATCCATTAGAGTGTCAGGTCTACAAGATGATCGACCTATTGAGGTCAACTGAGTTGCTCGATTACTCATCTGTTCGAGTGATGGGTTGGTCGACTACTTGACTGGTCGACAGGTTAGCTGCTCGATCTTCCCGCCACTTGGTTTGGTTCATCATGCCAGTCTAGCTTGGTAGGTATAATATCCTATATCAACACCATTAACATGCTCAATCACCACTTCCACACAAGATCACATGAACACTTAATCTCATAACCCTATTAGGCAAATAATTCAAAGGCTCAACATAACACATAATATCACATAAAATATAGGGGTTCAAGCCATCTTGTACCGTTCTTGGGAAAATCACACGAAAATGACAGAGAGGGACTGAACGGGGCGCTCGGCGGCTTCTCGGCTATTGCTCACAGCTTCAGGGTTGGTCCCGGCTTGCTTGGGTGAACAGGCTGCTACTCGTGAGACTCTCATCTCCTTGGATCCGTTCGAATGCACTACGAGTTCGGTTATGGCTGCAGTTCACGATCCTTTCCTCTCGGCAGGTGCAAGATTAGTGGAACGGGCTCCTAGCGGCGGTGATGAACCGGATTGTGGAGGGAGACAAGAGAAGAGAGCGATGGAGGGTTGCGCGATGATCGTAAGAGAGATGGGATTTTGGGACATGTCTGCACGTTTACGATAACGTAGAGAGAGAGGAGATATTTGCTTATATATATAGATATAACCTAGGTTTTAAAAACCTTTCCCAACAAGAAACACAAGGGGCGGGTATGGGCATGGATCGCCAGGCTTGGTTTCGATTTAGCCATTTAAATGGCTCGGTTCATACGTGCGATGTAATAAAGTAAACCGGATAACATTATATATATATATATATATATATATTACACACAATATTTAGTTATATAATTATTAAACAATTAATGACAATTAGACAATTAATCAAGTAATAGTAATAATGACAAATAATAATAATAATAATAATAATAATAATAATAATAATAATAATAATAATAATAATAATAATAATAATAATAATAATAATCACAAAAATATCATAAATAAACGGAGTGCTACATGAAGTGCCTTGAATCGTCGGAAGCCTCTAGAGTCAAGGCATGGGGGGTCGACCTCGAGTGTTAATCGAGAGGCTTTCACCACCTCGAATAGTTCTTGTCTTCTTGGGGGAAGTCCATTTCAGGAGTCTACTTGAGGAAGCCAACTTTCCCCTTCGCAGGAGTCGCCAATCATAAAGAAGAGAGCTTAGGAAGTCAACTTAGGAGAGTCGACTTTAGGAAGTGGACTCGGGGGAGTCAACTTTCCTATGGACGTCGCTCCGATTGAGAGAAACGGCTCGACTCGTCGTCTGGTCGAGTAATAAGAACTTAGGCTGACATACCTTATTACGACCACATCAATTATGATCCAGAAGTGGTGCACCATCTACATGGACCACATCACCTTCAAGGACTACGAGGTCCACGACGTCATGGGCCTCGAGCTCTACTACAACTAGGTTCTTCGGTATTCCCCCCAGTAATTTCAATTCCGACCCAATTTTGTGTAATTATGCTCTCTCTCTCTCTCTCTCACTCTCCCTCTCTCTCTCTCTCTCTCTCTCTCTCTCTCTCTCTTTATCTGTATTTCGTTGTTTTGGGTGATTGAGAAAATAGGATGATGTGGGCGCCCTTTGGTTGTGCTTGATTTGTGATTTTGATTCTATTTGATTATGGACTGTGTTGTTTTTTGTTTCCTGTTTTTGGAAGACTGGTTTAATTTAAGACTTTACTGTTCGTGTTACTCTGTTTTCTCTTGATCTCGGTCGATCTCTTTCTTTGTGGAATTAATTTGGCTGGTTGGAAGAGAAAAAAAAAGTGAAAACGATTTTGCTTGTCTGAGCTTTATCTCAATATTCTCAGTATTCTAAATATTATAAATATAATTAAATAATCAAAATTAATCATTCTCACCCATTGTATTAACTTTAATTTACTATTTATTCACGCACACAATTTCATATCATTTTTTTCTTACTTTTACATCCATGAACATAAATTATATTATTTTAAATAAATTTAACATTTTACTAACTAATAATAATTCTATTGTAATTATGTTTTTTTATAAAACTTAACTCCATTAACCAAAAAATCCAATCCAAATCAAACCAAAAAGGAATTCAATTTAGAAGATTAATTTATATACGGTATCATTCTCTCCCATGAGAGCGATTCATTCTCTCCCATGAGAGCGATTTGATTTTCGATCCTTGTTGCTGTGGTTTTCTCCAGTTGGACCTCTGTTTTCGGCTTAATCCTTTGATTTTCCCTATTTCTTCTTCCTTTCCCCTTTAATTATACCCCTTATCTACAATAGGGTTCCTTCTCATTGCAAAAGAAACTCAGAATAGTCAAGATGATGAATTATTTGATCGATTACAAGCTTTTTCTCTCTCGGACTGGGAAGCGAAAGTAGTAGATATTGCGCAAGATGATATTAGAATCAGCGATGAATGTCAAAGAAGCCTTTTTGGGAAGGTTATCGGGGAGCTCCCAGCTAGTTAGATTGGAATCAGGCGTGCAATGCCACAAATATGGAAACTTAATCAACCCATAGAAGTTAAGGAGCTCAGCCCAAATTATTTCCAGTTCATATTCCAAAATCTTGAAGACGAAAAGAGAGTAGCAGCAGGTACTAACTGGAGCTTTGAAAACCAATACTTAATCCTCCGGGAATGGTCAAATGGAATCTCCAGTAAGCATTCGAGTTTTAGGGAGCTCAATCTATGGATGTAAATTTATATTGTTACTAGAAGAATGAAATGAGGGATGCAAGGTTTTAATGAAAGGCAACCCCATTACAAGTTTGTGATATATAGTATTCGGTTGTTTCGTTTTTTCGAACAATACTCCAACGTATTGAACATTGTACTTTTGAAAATAATTATTTACATAATAGCTAGCTATTTCTTCTTTCCTGAGGCTACAATGAGGCAATGGGATAGTCTAATGTAAATTTTACATATGTGTGATGATCGATACAGTTTTATCATACATTCTTACTTTCAAAAGCTAGAACATCGCACTTTTGAAAACATTTATTTACATAATTATTATAAAGTACGTTTTTTCTCCTTAAATTTATTGAATTTTGTTCTAAAGTATGGCCATCCCAGATAACATGAGAGCATCTTGTCGTATTTATATATTTCACTTGATTTTATTATTAATTACGACTGCTATTGACACTACTACTTCTTGGGGAATATAAAAGGCCCTGTGAATATGTAAATTTATGACTAATAGTTGACAACATGTGTTTTTGGATGTTATAGGTCAAGGGCTTATAATGGAATCTAGAAAGGAGAAAGAGCAAGATCAATTGTCTGAGTCTCTGAATGATCTTTTTACCAGTGTCTCTGCCATGATAAAAGGTGAACTCCAAGTAAGCACAACTATGAAAAACTTGGCGTATTGGTTGTCTTCGACTAGATACTTAGCTGGCTAAAATGGTATATTAGATGACTAATTTGGCTATACTTTGTTCGTGAAATTGCAAGAGTATATTTATGATTAGATACAAGGTTTGAAGATTGTGATGTATTTGATCAAAACTGCAAGAGTGTATTTATGATTAGATACAAGGTTTGAAGATTGTGATGTATTTGATCAAAACTTATAGCTCATTTATATTTTAGTTTTTAATCCCTAAAATAGCTCTGGAGATCCTAAAAGAAATCCTGTGAGCTTGAGAACTTTTAAGGTTCTTTTGTGATGCCGATGAGATTTCATTGGCATATATCGACAAATATGATCGACTTCGGACTTTAGTGTGATTATTATATTATTTATTTTCAGTATTTATGTTTGTATTTATTTATGTTGTGTATTGGGCTTGTTTAATATTGGGCTTTTAAGTCTGTATTAGGATTGGATATATAATTAACGTAGGATATTGTGGGAGGCAGTTATCAGATTTATCTGATTGTTCATAAAAGAGAGAAACTATTCTTTGTTCTTCGTTGTTCTTTGTACAATTATCCCATCTCATGCTTCCTGCTACATCATTTTGGAAAGAAAAGGACTGAGGAGATAATATGTTAACTATTTGCATTAATATTTGACTAGCGAAATCACCTATACGCCATTAGAGACATCTTAGCTCCACCATCTTTTTTACACTATGGGCAATTTGATATTGGGATGTTGTATAGCAGTTTACAAGCCTTGAAACCATAATATGACATTGACAAGATCAATTAAATGAGGTTCGTAGACAATCTTGTTGATAGCTTTGTGTTCGTATTCATGGTTTGCGTATAACTTGTTTTTGTTTGAACTTCTCCTCACAAATGTCTTGCTTGTAGAAACATAAAATAATCGAACTTCTGCTGATGATGCCCCAGGAAACAAATAATGTTCTTGAGCTGTTAGAGAAAATGAATGTGAGGGTTGCTGAAGAGTACAAGGGATTCGGTGATGTAGCATCAGGATTAAGAGTTTTTGTGGAGCAATTAAAGAAAAAAAGCGGCACATTCGATGACTATGTTAAACAGCTCGATGCCATAGAGCAGCATGTTACGGAATTTGAAGCTGTAATTTCTATGCTTAGCAACTATGTTTCTCTGTTAGAATTGTAGTTCAAATCTGTTTACCATATTCCACCTGCATAATATGAGATATTCTTATTCTGTTGTTTTCATCTTCGATTAGTATTTTAATTTCTCCGCATTTTGTTTCTTAAGCCTCAATCAACATATGACATTATTTGTTTTATTATAATGCATGGTGGGGGAATGTCTGGTTCTTATGGACAAAAGAACTCTCTCGGAAGGTCACTTTCATCTGAGGGCATACATATTTGGTGGTGGTTATGGAGGTCAATCAGTATTCCAAATATATTGATACCTTATAAGTGAATTTCATGTTTACAGCTGATATCTTATGATTTATGGTTGAAAGCTAGTTTATGTGATAAAAGTGTGTGATAAAATTAGTTAAATAAAATTTTCAACAGATTTATTTGAAAGCTACCCAAGGGAGCTTATGAGATAAGTTTGAGTTTTTTTTTTTTTTTTTTTTTTTTTTTTTTTTTTTATTTTTTTTAAATTCGTCCTACCAAATAAGTTTATTTGAATACAAGAAGCTTATAATCTAACCAAACAAACATTTAGTTAACTTATGGTGTTTACTTGGTATATGGCTCGTTACTGATTCAATTAGAGGTACTTCTTATTAATGTTTAGATATCAATCATATTGTATTATTGTGCTAGTTATATCAATAAGATATTTGTAATTAATATTTAAATTTGTTTTGTACTTATATTTTACAATGTTCTCACGTATATTTCGAGAAAGTGCTTTTATAATTTCTGAAAAACTTAACCAGTTGATTTGTTGATAAATCAAGGATTCTAAACTAATTTTCTTAATTAAATATTTTTCTTTAAGATACAATTAAAATATTTTGGTATATGATTGGTTACCAAATGAATAAGAAATTACCATGATTTGTTAGTAATGTTGATAAATAAGATTCTACAGTAACATTGTGATGAATATCATAATAAATTTTTCATAACTGATTTTTAATTTTTATTTTGTAATTATAATTGCAATTTTATCATGCATATTCAAATAATATTTTGTTAAAAAACTTATTTGATAGTTGGTTTTTCGAAGACATGGTGTATGGTTGGTTACCTAAAGAATAAGAAGTTCCAGTGATTGGTAACTAAACGTAGAATCATATTTTTATTGTGATAATTATCACACAATATTTTTTTTAAAAAAACGAATACCACGTATTTATATGTAAAATCGTGCTATTAACGAAATTGCACGAGTTACAACAGGTCCGTATAATTTGAATTTTCTTTTTTTTTTATATATAAATCTTAAAATACTTTTTCTAATATTTCCTTTAGTAGTAAGTTAACTCATTTAATTATAAAGTCAATGTTACTATTTTATATTATTTCACAAACCTCTTTCAATATACTAGTACAGTACCTGTGCGATGCACAGGGGTTTATTATATTCGTCCCTTTTAAAAAGTAATTTTCAGTTAAGATTCAAAGTACATACTAAAGGAAAGATCATGTCATTAATAATTAAGAAATTAATAAATATAATTAAATAAAATTAATGTATTACTTAATATTGTCTTATATACAACGTCCATGGTTTTATTATTTGGCAAGTCATCGTCGCCACAAATTCAAACTATTTCTATTTCTGACACGGGAGACAGCAACAGACAACTAACCATGAGTTAAATTATTAATTAATTCAGGTTAATGTGAATTAATTAAACAAATTCTTAGAGAAAACATCACAACCAGTTGTGTATTTACCTCACGAAGAAATTCATTTCTCAAGAACTCGAATGGTGTTCCAATCATCTTTTCAGATTTCCTATCCCAACAAATGAATGTTGCACTTGATGTTGAATCAGACACAATCAAACGAATTTTGTACCTTCACAAAAAAAAAAAATATTATTGTAATATAAA